GACTTCACTTAGGCAGCCATTTTCTAATTGAAAAATATTGAGCTAATGTAGGTAAATCTTTCTCAACCAATTTTGCCCCATTAAGCTTGGGCCCAAGCCTTTTACTACAATCAGTGGTAACTGAACAAGCTGCTTCTCATAACACACTGGAACTGAAGTTGTACCTTTAATCTGTAAAGGTTTCCCGATATGGGTTATCAGTCTACCCGAGTTCTTGCGCAAATGTAAGTGTTGGAGTCCAGAGTGAATTTTGTTAAAGACTGGTTCTGCGATCACTGAAACAGCCGCACCGGAATCGACCTCCATTAGAACTGATTGACCTGATGGTGTTGGGGTTATAGATGGCACATTATAGCATATTATAGATGGGACACATTGTTACCATAATGCATTTGATGTTCGAGGAAGTGAATGTTGAGTCATAGAGTCATGCAGATGTACAGCATGGAAACAGACCCTTCGGTCCAGCTCGTCCATTGCTGATCAGATGTTTTAGATAAATCTAATCCCATTTGTTAGCATTTGGCCCATATTCCTCTAAACCCTTCCTATTCATATACCTATCCAGATGCCTTTTAAGTTTTGTAATTGTACCAGCCTCCACCACTTCCTCTGGCAGCTCATTCCATATGCACACAACCCTCTCTGTGAACAAGTTGCCCCTTAGGTCCCTTTTAAATCTTTCCCTCTCACCTTAAATCTATGTCCTCCAGTTTTTGGTTCCCCCACCCCAGGGAAAAGACCTTGCCTATTTACCCTATCCATGTCCCTCATGATTTTATAAACCTTTATAAGGTCACCGCTCAGCCTTCGACACTCCAGGGAAAATAATCCCAGCCTATGCAGCCTTTCCCTATAGCTTAAAACTCCAACCCTGGCAAAATCCTTGTAAATTTTTTCTGAACACTTTCATGTTTCACAACATTCTTCCTAAAGCAGGGAGACCAGAATTGCATGCAGTATTCCAAAAATGGCCTAACCAATGTCCTGTACAGCTGTAACATGACCTCCCAACCCTTCTACACAATGCACTGTCCAATAAAGGCAAGTGTACCAAATGCCTCCTTCACTATCCTATCTATCTGTGACTCCACTTTCAAGGAACTATGAACCTACACGCCAAGGTCATTTTGTTCAGGAACACTCTCCAGGATCTTGCCACTAAGTGTATAAATCCTGCCCTGATTTGCCTTTCCAAAATGCAGCACCTCACATTTATCTAAATTAAACTCCATCCGATCAGGATCCTGTTGTACTCTGAGGTAACCATCTTTGCTGTCCAGTATACCTCCAATTTTGGTGTCATCTGTAAATTTACTAACCATACCTCCTATGTTCACATCCAAACCATTACTTAAACGACAAAAAGCAGTGGACCAGCACTGATCCTCGTGGCACACCACCAGTCACAGGTCTCCAGTCTAAAAAAACAATCCTCAACCATCACCCTCCGTCTTCTACCTTTGAGCCAGTTCTGTATCCAAATGGCAATCATATGGACTAGTTTCTCCTGGGTGGTATTGCACTTTTTTAGTGTTGTTGGAGCTGCACTCATCCAAACAAGTGGGAAGTATTCCATTACATGACTGAGTTGTGCCTTGTAGCCAGTAGATGGGTTTTGGGGAATCAGGAGCTGAGCTACTCACCGCAGAGTTCCTAACCTCTGATCTGCTCTTGTAGCCACAGTATTTATTTGGCCAGTTCAATTCAGTTTCTGTCAATTGTTGAATATTGATAATTGTGGATTCAGTGGTGATAATGCTATTGAATGTAATGGGCAATAGTTAGATACTCTCTTTCTGTAGGTGGTCATTGCCTGGCATTTTTTGGCACAAATATTACTTGCCAATTGCCAGCTCAAGCTTGAATATTATTCAGGTCTTCCTGTATACAATGTGGGCTGAATTATAATACACAAGGAAAAACTGTTTCCAGTGTTGGAACACTGATAACTGGACAAGATATATATATATATAATTATAGGTATATAAAATAAGGATATTATTTTTAAAGAATGAATTATGATCTGGAATGTACTGCTTGAACCGTTGTGTCTCTGATCCTGCCCCCCATTCTCCCATTGTCATTGTCAATCTTAAACATTGTCACTAATTCCATTGCCCCTTTCACCTTTTCAGCCACGTCTCTCTCTGTCCTTGTTTTCATGCTTTCTGTCATCTGTCACTCTCTTTCTGATCTTGTTCCTCTCTGCCCCATCTTTTTCTCTTTCTGCTCCATCTTTCTCTCTACCACATCCCTTTCTTTGGCCCTCATATACATTTACTGTACAAATGAAGGCCATTCCGCCATCATAATCTTATACACCTCTGTCAGATCTTCTCCCAACCTTTGCTGTTCTAAGGAGAGTAACCCCAATCTACCCATTCATTCCTCATAGCTCAAACCCTCTGGCCCAGGCAACATCTTTTTAAATCTCTGCATTCACATTCTGATCATAATGTGGGGACCAGAACCCCACACAATACACCTGATGTGGCCTCATGAGCACTTTATACAGATGCAGCATAACCTCCTCACTCTTGTATTCTCTACCTCAGCTAATAAAGGCAGGTATTCCAAATGCCTTCTTAACCACCTTATCTACATGCCATGCTACCTTCAGAGACCTGTAGATCTGCTTACCAAGGTCCCTCTGATCTTCAGTACTTTCCAGGATTCTACCATTCATTGTTATAGTCTATTACCTTGTTAGACCTCTCCAAGTGCAATACTTCAAACTTTTCTTGATTGAATTCCATTTGCCACTAACCTGTCATCATCCTCCTGCTGCACTTTACGGCTATCTTTCTCACTATTTATCACCCGACTAATTTTTGTGTCGTCTGCAAACTTCTTGATGATACCCTCCCCCACTAGTTTAAGTCCAAATCATTCATATATACCACAAGTGGTAAGGGCCACAACACTAAGCCCTACGGAACCCCATTGGAAACAAACTTCCATTCACAGAAACATCCCTCGACCATCACCCTCTGCTTCCTGCCTCTCAGCCAACTTTGGATCCAATGTGCCTCTTTACCTTGGATCCCATGAGCTCTTACTTTTTTGACCAGTCTGCCATGAGGGATCTTATCAAAAGCCTTGCTTAAAGTTCATGTAGACCAAATCAAATGTGTTACCTTCACCCCTGGTGGCCACCAAAAAGAATTTAATAAAATTTGTAAAACCCGACTTTCCCCTAACACATCCTTGCTGATTACACGTGATTAATCTGTATTTGAGTGCAGATATATTCTGTCCCTCAGCATTCTTTCTAATAACTTCCCCATGAGCGAGATTAGATTAACTGACTTGTACTCTCCCGGTCTATCCCTTCCTCCTTTTAAACAATGGGATAGTGTTAGGAGTCCTCCAGTTTTCTGAATCCTCAATTGTCACCAGAGAGGGCTTAAAAATTACTACCAGAGCCCCTGATATCTCCTCCCTTGACTCTCTCAACAGCCTGGGATATACCTTACCGGGCCTGCAGAGTTCTGAAGCTGCTAAGTCCATTAGTAACTCCTCTCGCTATGTTAATTTCTTTCAATACTTCACAGTCCTCCATCCTCATGCTGATACCTCCATCATCCTTTTCCATTGTGAAAAGCAATGTCAAGTATTCATTGTGGACTGAGCCTATATCTTCTGGGGTCCACATGCACATTATCTCTGTAGTCCCTAATAAGTCCCACTCTTTCCCTAGTTATTCTCTTGCTCTTTATGTAGTTAAAAAGTCCTGTTGGATTTTCCTGTATTCTATTGGCCAATGCTTTCTTATGCAGTCTCTTTGCTTTTCTAATTTCCTTGTTATGATCCCCCTCCCCTGCACTTTATATACTTCTCTGGGATCTCTGCCTTGGTGAACATTTGGTATCTGCTGTAAGCTTCTCTTTTTTTTCTGAATCCTAACCTTTGTATCCCTTGACATCCAGGGTTCTCTGATCTCTTGCTCTCTGTCACTCTTTCGTGCCTCTGCCCCTGCCTCATCTTTCTTGGTCCCCCGACTCTCTCTCTCCTTTTTCTTTTTCTCTCCACCCATCTCTCTCTGCAGATCCCTGTATCTCTTTCTGTCTGTCTGTCTCTCCCTCTGTGTCTAGTTCAGTCTCTCTCTATCCCTGTCTCTCTCTCTCTCTCTGTGCCCAGCTTTCCTCTCTGTCTCTGCCCTCTGATGTGAAGCTGCATGCACTGCATGGTAAAGGCCAGCCCCACATTACCCAGCTTGAGAGGGTAATGTCATGCAAGTACTGGATGTTCTAGCTAACCATCAGCTGTCTCTAACCCACCCACTGGTCAGCTATCTAATGCTGTGAAATTGTCATCTAAAAAATCTAGTCTTTGTGCATTATTCCATCCCTGACTCCTGTGAGACTGTTTTCTGTCAACATTCACACTGGTATGATTGAACTTTCACACGGCTGTATATGGGAGACAGGCTGCAAAATACCTTGGCATGGTTCAACAATTCTGCCTCCTATAGTTGAATAGCTCTGCAAAACTGTTCTAAGTCCGTGCTGGTTTCACTGTGACTAATGAAATTCATTTGACCGTTCTTTTCTCTTTTGTTAGGATCTGCTGAGCCAGCAATTAATGCTGCTGCCCTGCTGTCTACAAGAGATTGAGCACATTGTGACAAAGTCACTGTCCTACTCTACTCCCTAATATACTGCCTACATTTTAAGTCACTATGTATATCTCTGTCTTTGTGTGATCATCTGTTGCTCTTTCTGCTGGACTCCGACTTGTTCTCCTGGCTCAATTCCCACTTCCACTCCAGACTGAGCTCCCATTTGTTCTCCTGGGTCAGCTTCTGCTTGTTCTCCATCTTGATTCCCGTTTGCTTTCCCACTCGTTCTCCTTGTCCAATTCCTGCCTATTCCACTGAGACTGTATATCTGGAACCCAAGTGCCCTGTGACTACTTCACTCAGGTTTCACTCCTGAATGTAATTAGCACGGACGAATTTGCTGAAAGTCCCCTCGCATCTGCTGAGCCAGGTTGCCATGGATGACAACTTCAAAGACCGGACAGCCTTCATCAGAGGGGCCAAGGACATTGCCAAGGAGGTGAAGCGGCAGGCAGCTAAGAAGGTGGCCAAAGGTACAGACCGACTCCAGGATGAATACAGTCGGCGCTCCTACACACGATTCCAGGAAGAGGATGATGACGATGATTACCAGCCACAATATAGCTACTCACGTGGAAACGACGAAGAAGGAGGCTCAAGTGATGCCACTGAGGGCCATGATGAGGAAGATGAGATCTATGAGGGGGAATATCAGGGTATTCCCCATGCCAACAAGATGGCAGATGACCACATTGCTAGCACGCAGCCCATGGTGGACGATTTCAGGGACTATGAGGAGATGGAAGGTGAACGGGAGAAGGAGAAGGAACAGCTGGCCCAACAGTATGAGCTCATCTTACAGGAGTGTGGTCATGGCCGCTTCCAGTGGACATTATACTTTGTTCTAGGCCTGGCTCTCATGGCAGATGGGGTGGAGGTCTTTGTGGTTGGATTTGTGCTGCCAAGTGCTGAGAAGGACATGTGTTTATCTGACTCCAACAAGGGCATGCTTGGTAAGTGCAAGGAAAATTCAATCCAAAACCATTCCAACAGAATCACTGGAATTCACAGAAGTACATACATAGCCTGGGCTCTGCTCCACTGTGATAACAAGGTGTAGAGCTGGATGAACA